TGGCTGTCAGGATGTCGACGACGCTCTTTCTATCCGTCTGATACCTGGACGTGTTGGTACTGGGGAATCGCCCTCCGTCATTCAACTAGGCGTGCATATTGCTGACGTCACTTATTTTCTGCCCATAGGTAGCTATGTGGACGCAGAGGCTAGACGACGCTCGACTTCTGTCTACTTAGCCGATAGAAGATACGACATGCTTCCTGGCATCCTGAGCGGTGATATTTGCTCACTATGGAGCCAGGCTGATCGGTTAGTTAGTCAGAATATCTAAATTTTGGGTTATTCAATTATCCGCGTACATGGCTCAGTTTTTTCAACTATTCTAATTGGACACCTTATGTCGCTTTATGGGAGGAAATTGACGAAAACCTCTATAAATCCATCTGGATTACCTCTGATCAAATTAGTTTATCATTCATTGGAACATTACCATTTATGGCAGAATACTTGAGCACGACTAAGCTGTACCGGTATATTCGAATTTGTCATCATAAATCGAGTTTGCTTGTGTATCGTTAGTCGTATTCATCATTTTTGTATGATTTTGATGCTTTATAAAACATATAGCCGATTAACAAACTTAACGACTTGCTTCGTGTTGCTTGTTTTTTACGGTGAAACTCCTACCTCAAATCTTTATATGCTTTATTTTTCATGTCATTTTTCATAATTGAAGCAAAGAAGAAAATTAATCCACCTAAACTATAATTTATTGTCAGATTAAAGTTATGAATTCATTTTTGCTGTCCTACAAATTTTTTATAAGCATTTAAAGCTATGAAGACTAGGATAGTGTGGTCTTTTGTATGATCGCGGTCTCCTTTCGTTAAATATAAGTTGTTTGACTTTGTTTTCGCAACTTATTCATATTGGCAGGAAGACCTAGAGGAACGCACCATGTCCAGATTCCATAGTATGCATTATTATTTCCAGTGTCGAACCGTGGACGTAGCACATTCCCAGAGCTTATTCAAAGCAAGTAGAACTATTACATTTGAAGGTTGGCACGCAATATATATTCCTAGAAGAGAGAGTGAAACGGTGGGGGCCTATCTAGTTGGCTATTATTAGATAAGTTTGCTCATAGACGTGGTTTATGAAGTAAAGGCTTGACCACAATATTTACTCGGTTCACATGCCGCACAGCGTAAAGTTAGGTTGCCATGTTAATTGAGAATCCAGACTTTAGGGCTTCGCTCAGTAAGGCTGGGGTATACATGTTATCAAAGGCTTGGGGCAGAATGTAGAACAACGCCTTTAGTAGCACGGATACCGTCGCAGCGATGGAGTGAAAGCACTAAAACAAGCAGATAAATGAACATAACAAGATGCGATTCTGATAGGAGACGAAGGGAGTGGATTGCGAATTAAACCGCGGCCTTTCCAGCACAGTGGGAAGGATGATGAAACCAGCAGCGAGTGTGAATAGATTTCAAATAGTTCTAGATAAATAAGTAAGAAATTGTGATATTGGAGGTGTGATACGAGGATATAGGCTAGGTTAATGGCCCAGGATATGAGAGATACCACAACTGTTTAGTACACATTTAGTCAAGGGATTGACTTCACTTGTCTCTTGACGATTGTAGTATGGTGCTAAGACTGGCAAGACTCACTGACGATGCCGGCGAAACGTCTGGTAATGTACCACGTCAGCAGTCCGACACTGGAAATAATCATGCATACTTTGAACTCCAGACAAGGTGCGTTCCTCTAGGTTTTTCTGCCAATATGACCAAGTTTCGTAAACAAGGTCAAACAACTTTTGATAAGTAATTTATTATTTCAGCCTTAACTCTTGGGTTATCATAATTGTCGAAGGAATAAATCATCTTCGGTCGATTAAAGTAATTTAAGTACTGATATTTGAGTTTTCTCAATATTTAACCCAGGATGGACTCAAGTTTCAACCTTCCCTAGGCCTAATTAGCACTCTTGGTCGGATTCGTTGCGACAGTCAAGAGTGCAATCGGTCTACGTGGCGGATGTGGCATTCAAGGCAAACCAGACCTCTCCCAACTCACATTTATAGTGGGGTTGTCGATTGTGCATACATTTATTTGTGATTGTAGTCTATAGCATTACTCATTTTCAATTTTGATGGTTTTGCAGACTCAGCAATTTTTAAATGAAAACTCAATCACCCTAAGCCGCTCAAATTTATTTGAGGACTGATATTAAAGTTATATACCAGAGATGCATAGGTCTCACGGGGTCAATGAATTTCACTTAGCCTTGCCTCCCTGGATGAAGTGAAATTTAATGGTATCTAGAGGCCTTATTTCATCCAGGGGAAAATTAATTCTCATTCAGCAAACCACTTTAAGTGGTCTATAGTGATTAAGTCTTTGGCTGAGAATTGAGGATTGCCTTGAAAACTATTCATCAAAAATAAGTTAACTTGATCGTAGATAGGAAAACCAAGATGGTGTGGCTTTTGGCTTAGTTGAAGTCTTCTGTAGAGTATAGTTTTGGTTTGCCTCGTTATCGTAACTTTTTCGAAGCAACATGAAATATATCTTATAGAACGTAGTCAGTTCTGCGTCCTCTGCCATTGTATTCAGATAATTTCCATCATCGGACCGTTGATTTGGTACATTATCAGTCTTTTTGCCAGCACCGTTAATGAGACTTACCATTCTCAACACAGCGTTACAACTTATCAATGAAAAGTAGTTGCAAAGTCGTCGATGTTTTATAATCTTTGTGCTAATTACTCTCCTATGGATCCAACTTTTGTAGACCATAATCAATATTTTATTAGGTCAAATTCTGCTGGGCCGGATTCTCCTTGATTTTAATTATTAATAACTTTATTCGTTATATCCTTTAGTTTTATATAGTTTTTTTTAGCCTTAAAATTGTAACATTCGCGTTTAAATTGAGATTTTGATCAGCCTATCTCTTACTCCCATTGTTTTCCTGTATTAGTAAATCGGATCATTGATAGAATACATTTCTAAAATTTTCCGGCATTACCAGCATTTAGTTTTATCCATATCACTGAGCTACAACTCGCTAAAACTCGTTACAACTGAATTGGGAAAACGAGATCGACAATGATTTTAATTTAAATAATTTATTACGACATGTTTCTTCCCCTATAGATCAGCTCATTTGTTTCCATGGGATCATTAGTGACGAATAAGGAATCAAAACAAGTAGTTAAAATCCTATGAGGTTATTTTTAAATAGAATCGAATGGTATCGCATATAGTAGGCTAACTTT